TACAGACTTTGGAGCCTGAAAAAGGGAACTTAGCTGATAAGCACCTTGACCTTTGAAGTCAAGGGAAACAAACTCTGCTGAGAAGCAGCCTGCCTTTCCTCTGACCTCCAAAGATAGGATAAGCAGATTCTACCTGATAACCAGAGATTTTAGAAGCTGTTTTTCTCTTAAGAGGGAAAAAGTAAACACTTCCAGACCCTAATACTACCTGGTTTTCCTGCTTCCCCCTCCCTGATTTCTCCCCCAAACATTCCTCCCTTCTACACCCTAAAGCCCCCATATATAAAGTCCCAGCTCACAGCCCGTGGGCTGACATCTTTCCCTTCCCTGCCCTTCCCTGACATCTTTCCCTTCCCCAAGGGAAAGGTGCCCTGTGCGAAATAAATCTGTATCCCGCTGAGAATTCTATCTGTGCCTCGGTGCCTCCTCCATCGTGCTCTCCACTCTCCCAGCATTTTTAACCTATCAGTACTGGCTTTAGAGGCAGGAAGGATGCAAGGTTCTTCTTTGGCAGTTTCAGAGCGCTGTCAAGGGCAGGCAGTGTTCTTCAGGGGAGTTCATACATAAAGAAGGCCCTGACAGGCCAAGAAGTCCAAAAGGCCATTGCATGAAGGTGTAATGGTGAAGTCTGATTGGAGTAGAGATCCCAAGATACTAGAGAGGCCAGAGTCACGAGACATCTGGTAGGGAGAGCAGCATACAGGAGTGGTACCAGTCCAAGAGACAGATGTATGCTGGATGCAGTAAAGCTGGGAGTGGGGCAGCTAAGCCCATTGGAAGTAAAGTCATGGAAATCAAACATGGAGTTACTGGGTACGGTATTTACTCTGCTGGGTTTTAGGTCTTGTTTTTGTCCAGTATTTCCTCACTATACCCCCATTCTTCCCTTTTGGAATGGTAATGTATATTTGGTTCTATTGTACGTCAGAAGTCTGTAATTTGTCTTCTGATTTTATAGGGTCTTAAAGTAAAGAGATTGCCTGGAGTCTCAAAAGAGACTTTGGACTCCAAACTTTTGAAGAACATTAAAACTGTCAAAGCCCACTGAGACTTTTGAAGGTGGACTAAATGCACTTTGCATTTTACATGGTTGTGAACTTATGGTGGTTTGAATGAGAATGTCCCCATAAGCTCAAGTATTTGGACATTGTGTACCCAGTTGATGATCCTGTTTTAAGAGGTTTTAGAAGGCGGGGCCTTGCTGGAGGAAGTACATCACTAGGCGAGGGGGTATGAGATTTCTTAAGTCTTGACACATTTCCAGTCTCTCTCTGCTTCCCGTGCCTGCTTGAAGATATGATCTCTTAGCTTTCTACTCCACCTCTGCAGCCATTCCTTCCTCGCTATTATGGACTCTAACCCTCTGGAACCGTAATCTCAAACTCTTCCTTTTATAAGTTGCCTTGGTCATGGTGCTTTATCACAGCAACAGGAAAGTAACTAAAATACTTTTCATGAACAGCCCCTCAACTAAAACATCCCTGTGTCCCTTTCCCACATGTTGTAGCAAATTAGACATATATTATCTTTCTGAAGGATTGTGTAATCCACTGTACTAACAATGGATATACTGACAGCCTCACATGGTATCCTAAAATTATTTGTCTGAAAAGCTTCCACTAGAATCCTAAATCAACAAATAGATAACAAGTGACATGTATAACTGCTCTTATTTTGAACATTCAAAGCACAAAAATTCAAATTTCAAAATTTATATATATATATACACTATAAATTAGAATTTTACAAAAGCTAAGAGGAATCACATTCATTCACTTTATTTTACAAATAGCCCAAAGAAGCCAAGTGTTAGAGAGACAGCTGTGACAAGAGATAGGTAAATCCTACTCTAATAAAGCATACAGATGATAAGATTTAATTAAATTAGTAGGACAGTTTTTTTTAGGTTTTATTATTTTATTTTATGTGTATGAATGTTTTACCTGTATTAAGTGTCATGTGTGTGCAGTATCCATGGAGGCCAAAAAATGGCATTGGAACCCCTGGAACTGGAGTTCCAGACAACTCTGAGCTGCCACATTGGTGCTGTGAACTAAACCAGGGTCCTCTATAAGAACAGCAAGGGATCTTATCACTGAGACATCTCCCCCTACCAATTTAAGATTTTATTTTAATTATGTGTGTGTGAGAGTGGGGTGTGTACACGAAGGCAGTGCCTGCTGAGTCTAGAATAGAGTGTCAGATCCCCTGGAGCTGGAGTTACACGCAGTTGTGAGCCACCCAACTTCAGTACTGAGAACTGAACTCAGGTCCTCTGTAGGAATAGCAAATGCTCTTAACCTCCTCAGCCAGGTGGCTGTTGTCTTTAATTACTTTTGCTTGGTTTTTGAAGCAAGGCCTCATGCATCTCAGGTGGACCTTGAACTGGCTATGTAGACAACGATGATCTTGAACTCCTGCTTCTCCTGTTTCTATCTCTCAAATGCTAAAGACAATACCAGGAAAGGCATGGTATTATTGTTCCCATATCCCAGCTACTTAGAAGGATTAGGCTACTCATGCAACATAGCAAGACCTCCACCTCCACCACCACATCACCAAGAAAAAGGCCAGGCCAGGAGCAGAAGTGCACCTGGTACTCCTAGTACTCTAGCACTTGGCAAACAGGCAAAGATGATGCAGGAATATGATGAGTTCAAGGCCAGCCTGGGCTGCACAGTGAGATCCAAAATGCAAAAGAAATACTATGAAGATTAAACTAACACATCTTTCTATTGCCCTTATTTTAAATCTAGGGGGAGCACAATCATTGCGCCCCGAACCTACTCCCCCAAAAGAAACCGTAACCAACCAAACAAACAAAAGCTGGGAAAAGACTTAAGGTTTTTAATCACATTTTTCTCTAACATTACCATTTCATGTTTCCGAATTTCAATCTTGATATCTGACATTAATTTATAAGACATCAAAAAACTAATCAAACTTTTAATCCAGATGTATATTTAAAGTACTGTAACATTCTACCTACTAACTTTTCTGGAATGAAAATCCAAAACATAAAAATTATGGGCAATGTGAATCTCACTTCTAGATCACAATGAAGTAATTTCTCAGTGGTTTCAAACACTGCATTAAAAAGGGTCCCATGAGTATATGGTAATACAAAAGCCTAAGCAAGTACTAGTGTGAAGCTCTGTACCTGTGTGACGGAGAAGGAGCTTCAAATTGAGGCACTGTGCTATCTTCACTGACAGGGGAATATAATCCGCTCATTTCCTGAAATTGAAATTATCTAAGTTATAGTAACACTCCACACAGAAGATGTATAAATCAAAAATATAAATGACATTATATTTCCTTCCATCCTCAGGTTTTCATCGGTCCCTTTTTGTCTTAATATTCAAATTTCTCAAGGATACTTTTCCAAAGCATCCACAAAATTAAAGAGGCAAACTTTTCCTATAGTACAGAGTGTTAAGGGATTATAGTTCCTAATAAATACTGTTCTCTACCAACTAAGTCACCAAATGCAGAGAAGGTCAAAGGCAAAGAGAAAACATACAATATACTTTGTGAACAGTGAAATGCCTAATCTAGGCATTTCATCTAGGTGATAATCTATTAATATGTATTAGGATAAATAGGATATGAGGGTGGGTCATTAGGTTCAAGTCTTCAAAGCACAACAATAAAACCTGGGATATGTCTGTCCCTCTCTACTTTAAAAACATTCTCTACAAAGAGTAAGAAAAAAATAACAATCTTCTTGATTAAAACACTGGCTTTTTAAAATAATGGCTTAAATACTAGTGTCTGAACATTAACTTCAAGGAAAATGTCTACTGGTCAGTGATTATCACATAAATTATGTCTCTGAATCTCACTGACAACTGGCCTTCTTTCTTAAGAGCTGAATTCTGACTACTGGAATAAAAAACAGCAAAACTAAAAAGGCCACTAAAGACGCATAACCAGGTAGAATTATTTCTGGCTAATCCAGGTTTAGCTCAATAATAGTTAAATATGTAACCTAAATATAACAAATTAGGAATGTCATAAGAGATACTGAGTACCCATTAAGTATAATAGTAATTACCCTTTGATGTTTTATATGACAGCAAAAGGGAATAATATATATGAACAATTAAAAACACATACTAAATGCGAATGCAACCAATGCAATAACCTCACCTCACAGTAGCCTATGAGACCTTTTCAAGAATTTCCCAATGGGCTTCTGTAACAAACTGCATTTCACTATAAATTCCCACAACATGGTAAAGTATTTGCATATCTCTTAATTAACTTCAGTATCTAGTAATACACACAGTAGACATGTCAAAATATTTACTTAATAAAAAATGGAATAATGAATCATTTTAATGGCAATAATTAACGGTCTATAAGAAATGATTTAAGTAAATATGATAAAGTTTCCGGAAAATGAAGTAAATTTTGTTCAGTTTAATCAAGAATTTTGGCAACAAATGTGAATATAAACTTAGATTATATTTTATTTTTGAGGAAGTACTCAGACTTTATTTTCCCTACAAAAATGTAAATTTAAATCAAAGTAAAATTACTAAAAATGTGAGAAATTCTTGATTTCTTACCTCTACTCTTTTAATATCCTCTTCCAAAACACTCAGTTCCTTCTGGATCTGTTCCAACTGCTGCAGAATAAAAAAGGGAGAAAAAAAATTTCTAAACTAAACAACACTGGCATCAACATTTTAAAATATTAGTCTTACATTTGGTGAATAATTTCTACTCAACGTAGCAGTAAAGGTAAACAAGGGGAATGAAATTACTAACCAGAAAACCAAAGCAGTAAGTTCAAATGCTAACAGGCAAATGCAGAGACTTATCTTTATGGAAACACAATGGTATGCTTATTTAATAAACACAGACAAAAAATATGAAAGGTGAATGAAGACAAAACTGACTACAAAAAATACAAGATATCCAAAGAGCTTTCATGTTATTTCATCGAAATGCTAAGAGGAAAAAGTGTCAGTTGAAACCTACTTTTTAATTTAAATTCAATTACTCCAAAGCAACTATAAGTTAGGCACTGTAATATTTACATTTTATGAATTTAAAAAACATATTTAAGACACTTTATTTCTATATCTTGCCCATTGCATCACAGCCATTTTCTTTGTTAAAAATATCATATTTACTGTTTTTATTTTATGCATGTCTATATTGTATGCATGCATGTTAAGTACACCTGAGTCGTGCAATGCCCAAAGAGGTCAGAAGAGGGTGTTGGATACCCTGGAACTAGAGTTACAGACAAGTGTTAGCCACCATGTGGGTGCTGGGAATCAAACCCAGGACTTCTGCAAGAGCAACCAGTGCTCTTAACCACTGAGCCATCTCTCCAGTCCCCTAAGTCATTTTCATATCATCAAAATATAAGCATTTAAATTACATAATAACAGTCAACATATAATTAAGTTTCATGGGATCCAATGACCTCTTTTTGCCTCCATATGCATTACAGGCTATATATATATAACAAAAATAAATTTAAAAATTAAAAATCCTTTAACTTTACTTCAGATTTTATTAACAGTATTAAAACTGAAATTATTTAATCAAAATAGCTATTAAATTTTAACTATGCATTTCTGCTTTATGGAATTTCTATACCACAATATATAGTATAATTGGTTGTTTCACTTTAACCCAAACACACAGAATCATTTTAAAATATAGTAACAAGTAATTGCATAATACTGATCGCCACATTTGAAACAAATACTATACATATCAGGAAAATGAGGCACAGAAAGGTTAAGTGACTTGTTCAAGATCATTTAGTTTGTAAGAGAAAGAATCACAATTCAAATGAAAGCAGCCTTCTTCCTCTAGATAGCATGCTGCCACCCACTGCATTATTCCCTAAAGGAAATAATAGTACATTATTGTGTAATTCCTTCAATAATGTGTAAGGGATGAGCATTTTTGTTTAAGATTTATTAGTGTTAGCATCTTCTATCACTGTGGTAAAACAGGCATAGTTCTTGCTAATTGATAACATGAATTCAAGTATTTACCAATCGGAAGCATTTTGCTAAACACTGAGAACAGTAGGTTGGAGGTTGGAGAGTATGAACAGTAAGATCTAAGTGAAATTAGACCTTAAATTAAACTCACTAAATACATTAGCCTTAAAGGGCAAACAGAATTTTATAACAGGTAAATATAAAAAAAAAAAATAATAATAAAATGCTAAGGCTGTGAGGAAAGAAGTACTAAGAGGAACACATGACAATGAATGTAGTGCCCAACATCAATCTACTGAAAAAAAATAAACTAAGGACAGTAGGGAAAGTCAGCATTAAAGAGGCAACAAAAGGAAGGAGCATATTAACCAGAATGGAAAGACAGAAAAGGTAAATGGTAGCCATGGGGGTGGGGCAGGGGTGGGAGAGGGGAGACACAAATGCTATTCTAATGAATATTAAAAAAAGATAACCTTTACCTGTGTTAATTCTGAGATGCCAAACAAGAAATATTAAAATAGAAAAGAATTCTGAAGGAAAAAACTGTTTATAGAGATTGAATATTAAACAAAGGCATTCCCACTTCAAGATGAGATTCTGAAAGTATATCTAAATTGTCAGGGCATGAATATAAAATATTTCAGTAAACAGAAGACAAAGGACAGACACTGGAAGGAAGCAAAAAGAACTGGTCTAAATTTATTCTGTAAACACTGTAACTCCAAGAGGCAGAACCTAGAATAAGAAATATACGTCCAAAAATGTTCTGGAGATGAATAAGGAAAGTCCATAAAGATAAAGGGCTATTATCTAAATGAAGACCAGTCACAAACTGAGAATGTAAATTCTTCAATCAAATTTGCCTTAACATAGTCATGGAATTTGGAGCTACTAAACGACATCAGTAACAAGCACTCTTTGAACAGTGAAAAAAACCAAAGAAAATGTATCAAAACATTTAAAAAAGTAAAGTATCTCAAAACACCATAAAAACACAAAGGATTCAAAATAAAAACTGTTCTAATGATGACATTAGTTTTCAATAGGCAGGGATCTTGACACTGATTTCTTTGATCTCCACACTACTGGTTTTATAAATAAGGATATACTTGGGTATTAACCTCATTGTGTGAATTCAGTTTTATAGCTAATATAACAGCAAATTATATGTAGGTAATCTAAAATAAACAAAAGAATACACTATTAGACTTTCAGGGAACCAGTTGATAACCAAAATAAGATGGCAATACTCAATATATACTAATCCTAAGATTTACTATCAAAAGCAAAAAATATACCCAAAGAATATACTACAGCAAGCCAAAACCCTTACTGTCCTATACCAATACTATAGAAACATACTTATAATCTTAATGACAGGCTTGATTTTTAAGACTTCATTCAACCCTCCCACAGCAATTTTTAAAGTTGAGAAACAAACATAGAGCAAATAAAACCAAAAATAAACAAACAGATGGGGGGGGGCTCAAAATAAGATGGCTTATTTAAAAGGAGATGAATGTCAACACCCAGTATACTGCAGTACGATACAAACGATTAGTGGCTAGAGAGATGGCTCAGTAGATAAGTGCTTGTTGTGGCAGTATGAGGTTTAGCATTTAGATCCCCAGCACCCACTTAAATGTAGGGCAGACTTAGTGGGCCACTTGAAAATCCAGCATGTAGCAAGCAGGGTCAGGCTGAGTCCCCAAGCAAGCAGGACTGTCTGAATTAGCAAACTCAGTTTCATGTCATAGATCCTGCCTCAATATATAACGTGGAGAGTGATCAAGGAAGACACCTGATTATCAGTCTCTGGCCTCTACATGCACATACAACATATGCATGCACATCCACCCAGAGGCATACCCATACACATGCAGAAAAGGGAGGTATAAATTATATACTTTGTGCAGTCATTGTAAAAACTACACAAAAAGATGTGCTAAAAAACATTCCAGGTGGCTTAGCCTGATGGTACATGCCTGTAATTCCAGAGGTAGAGGCTGTAGAATCGGGGCTTCAAGGTCATTCTTGGCTTGCTGGAGGCCAGTCTGGACTACATTAGACCTCCATCGCAACAATCTCCCCCCAAATATAGATGAATCAAAAGAGAAATTTTCAAAGAGAGGTCAAGAACCCACACAGAGAAAAAATATAGTAACAGGGTCAGTGAGATGGCTCAGCAGGTAAAGGCACTTGCCTGACAACATGAGTTCAATCCCTGGAACCAACAGATGGAAGGAGAATGGACTCCTGAAAGCATGTGCATCAAGGCGTGTGCGTGCATGTGTGCGCACGCACACGCGCGCACATACACAAACACATCAAATAGTAATAAGAATTTTTTAATGTAATAAAAATTTCAAAAAAAGCATAAAACAAAAATAAAGTCATGTTATTTACAGTAGAGGATTTAAATACAAAAGAGATTGACAAAGCATATTTTTAAAAAGTATACTGAGCACTGGTTGGTAAAATGCTTGCCTTGAAAGAACAAGGACCTGAATTTGATCTGGTGTGATGTCATGCATTTATAATCCCAGCATTGGAGGGGCTGAGGCAAGGGCTCTATCACACGCATGCAGGTCCCTGCATATAAACATGCATGTACACAAAAGCATACTGCAACTATAAACAGTCAATGAGAAAATTATCTCAAGTATGACTCCATAATTGATATAAGAATAACACAACAATTCAGTAAAAATGCAGAAAATTTTCACCACATTTTAAAAATATTTATTTATTATTTTTATGTGTATGAATGTATTGCATGCAAATATGTAAGTGCACCTGTGTCATGCAATGCCCACAGAGGTCAGAAGGTGGTACTGGATCCCATGGAACTGGAGTTACAGGCAGTTGTTAGCCACCATGCGGGTGCTGGGAATGGAACCTGGGTCCTCTGCAAGAGCAGTCAGTGCTCTTAACCACTTAGACATCGCATTAGCCCACCACCACACATTTAAGAAGCTTTTACTACAATACAGTTTCAGAAAGACATTTGTTTTCAAGCATAAATACTTCAGAACTGACCACCTATCAGATAGTAAATATTTTATCGAAAGAAATTAAATCAAAGAATTCTCTAGGAATATATTTAACAAAGAAGGTAACACACTTAAATGACGGATGCTATGAAACACTGAAGAAAAACTGGAGACACTAGAAAATGGAAAGAATTCTCATGTTCATAGATAAGCAAAATTAATATTGTGAATATGGCTATCTTACTGAAAGCAATCTATAGGTTCTCAATTTCCAACAAAATTCTACTGATATTCTACACAAAAGTAGAAAAATGATCCTAAATTTAATAGAAATGCACAAAAAGCAATCCTGACCTAGAACAAGCTGAAAACAATACGTATTTTCAAATATATAAAATGCTACAATGATAACATGGTCCTAGTACAAAAATAGGTAAGACTAGAATAGAAGACCCAGAAAAACTTGTGCAGCTACAGACACCTAATCCTCAATGCAGGTCAAAAACACATCAGAAAAAGGAAGTCTCTTCTGCAAATAGTGCTGGGTAAACTTCATGCCCACATGTAAAAGAATGAACTAGACCCCTATCTCTTAGCCTGGATAAAAATCAACTCATCATGGATCAAACGCCTTACTTTAAGAGCAGAAACTCTGAAATTATTAGA